AATAAATAAATAAATATTTTTTTTAAATAATTTATTTATTTATTACTATATATATTTATTGTAAATAATTTATAATAGTTTTTTTTTATTTATTTATTTGTTAATTTTTTTAATTTATTTCACTATTTATTTTTATTTTTGTAATTTAAATTAGGGATTACAGAATAACAGTATGGTATGGGTTACCAGATTGATTTGGTATAGGGATTACAGAATAACAGTATGGTATGGGTTACCAGATTAGTTTGGTATAGGTCTACTTAAAAAACTATACCATACTTATTACCTATTATATACCATAAATAATCAGTATGGTATGGTTTATAATTTAAAAAATTATACCATACCGATCTTCTATTATATATAATATATATATTATATTAAATTAGTATGGTATGATTCATTAATTAAAAAACTGTACCATACTGATCTGGTCGCTATACATTTTTTATGTTTGTCAAATTTAACTAATTTTTGGTCCCCAAATTTAAGTTTTGGAGATCAAATTTATTATTGATTATCTAAGGCCATACAAACTAGTTTGCTAGGTCAAATTCTGCAAAATCTTTTGAAAAATTTTTTTAACTATATTTGCTATCTGAATGAGATTTAGCTAAATTAATTATTAATGAAGCTATTTTTATTCATTCATTTATTATATTTTAAAAAGTGATTCTATTTTATTTTTAGTCATTATGACCTTATTAGAGATGTGGCACAATCTTTATTCTATAATTAATAAAATAATAATATTCATATATATTATTAGTTTATTCCTTACCCAATTGCATAGTCATTATGTACAGTATCTAATAGTAATATAAAAGATATAAAGTCTCACCTTTTTCACTCAAATTAAGAGGCAAAACTCTTAGAGTCTCAACTTCAAAAGATATATTGAAGTATCTAAGTAGCATTAACCCTTTTGTTAAAAAACATTTTGCATTAAGTCTTCACATTATCTTGTACTCATGACTCTGAGTTAACCTATTAGTTAGTATAAAGTAAAAATAAAAGATACCTATTAGTTAGTATAAAGTAAAAAAGAAAAATTGTTTTAATAATCAAATTCTTTTTATATTAAATAATTGCATGAATACATTAGTAATCGATTCATTATTACTAAAATATATATATTAGAGATATCTCTTATGCAATAAGCATAGCATTTTATATGACCTCATGCAAAATACATAGTGATCTTATATAAGATGAAATTTTAGAGTTCAGAACTTAGCAATAATTATTTATTAAAAATTTATTTCGCGTAAGATCATGTATATAATTAATTTGTACGAATATTATGGTATATTAATTATACTAGCTACAAAAATTACTACATTGCATAATATATATATATTCAAAGTTTATTAATTACTAATAATTAGTAATTAATTTGATTTTTAGAATTTTGTGAAATGTATAACTATCTTAATATAAAAGTAAAAGAAAACAATCAAGAGTAGTTAAAAGCATATTTCATTTTATTATCTTTGATCTGATCTGATCTTTTCAGTTTATGAATTTGAACAATTAATTTCTCTTATCTAATGAGTTATTATCTCATCTAATTTATGATTTTCTTTTATCTATTTACCTCAAATTAATGTTATCATAACTTTAAAATCAAAGATAAGAGAAAAAAAAAATAAGCAATTGTTTGCAAGCCTAAAAATCTAATAAGATATACCAAATATATTTGCTGTATTCTTATCTAATATTGACTAATTTATTTGTTAATGCCTAATTCTTTTTCCTTTTTAATATTGGCTAATTCTTGAGCATAAAGAGAAGCTAGTTTTGTTTGTTTATCAATATCTAACATTTCTTTTTTATGTTGAAATTCATATTCTATTAACTCAAGCTTTCTTAACTTTTCATACTTAGCAATTTCGAGGTCAAGATCATTTAATTCTTCATTGCCTATTGCAGTGGCATTAGAATTTAGTGATACTTTTTTAGTTGATGATGCAGATTCCTTTATTTACGCTTTTGATCTTTTGAGATATGTAGTTATTTTCTCTCTTATTATTATTAAATATATATATATAAAATTTAGCAAATACAAAATAAGTAATAGTTATATTCTGAGTAGTTAGGTATAAGCAGAATTTTGGTGTAGAGTATAATGAAGTAGATTAGCTACATAAGCAGCCAAACTATGTCATTATACTTTATACCAAAATTTTGCTTTACCTAACAACTCAGAATATAACTAATTTATCTTCTGCTATCTACATGATTTTTTTCATGTACTTGGTTTTTACTGATAAACATTATCAACTTATTTTTACTAGTCTAAAAATTAATAACTTATAATATGTATCAAAATAAGTTGATAATGTTTGTCAGTAGAAATAAGTACATGAAAAAAGTTATGTAAATGAGATTGGCTAAAGGATAATAACAAGTTATTATATAATTATCTTACCTAATTCTAATCATTTAATAGATTGAGTGGCCTTAACTACTGGACCTAATGAATGATCAGTTTTAGGGACATTATATTTATCTTGACATTCACATGTTGCAAATCGATACTCATCTAATCATCTTCCTCTATATATTTTCAAATATACAAATTTTTAGTAATTTTAACTACTAAGGCTATAGAGTCAACCAGAGCAGCCTCCAAAGTATGAATTGATAGTATAGCTACATTATAGAAATAACTAATTTATAACAAGCTATAATAATCTTGAAGATATATATTAGGTGTTAAATTGATTTTTTTTTATGTCTTCAAAATTTTAGTTATAGCTTATCATCAATTGATTATTTCTATACTGCAGCTGTGCCATCAATCTGAGGGCTGTTCTGGTCGACTCAAGGCTATACAAAACTAATTAATTGGTTTTTATAACCTGATCAGATCAAAATTTGAAGGATATGATTTAATAACTGAATAGTTTTTTAAAAAAAGCTGACTAGCCAGGTTTATTTAAAAATTACTGTTATAAAAACCAAGATATCAAATTTGTATAGGCTAATAAAAAAAATTAGCTAAAAAAATAATTGATAAAAAACTATTAAATACAAACTTTCTAATTGCAAGTAATAAATTCATTTTAATTCCTTCTCTATTAGCATCTGCATGAGCAGATTCAGCAATATTAGTAGTTTTTCCTGCATTACACTAGTCTTCTTTAAGAATATATAAATAATAGTAATTTAAAGACGCTAATCGCTATAGTTTTGAATAGTAATTTCCCCAATCTGTAATTGTTAAAAATTCAATATATATATATAAATTTAATTTACAATATTAAGAATAAAATATTATTATATATCTGATGCACTATCTTTATCTGATATAAAAAATTCATAAAATATAGCATCAATACATTCTTTATCAGCTACTAATATTTCATACATTAAACTTTTTAAATAGTCTGATAGTTTTGAATTTAAAATATTTCTATATAAAATAAAAATAATTACAATAATTACAAGTTTGATTATTTATAAAAAAAAAAAAAATAAATAAATAAAGCAGCCTAGTATATTTAAAATTTTTAATATTATATTATAAAAAATTAAAAAGTCATTATTAGTCATTGTTTATAGTACCTGAGGTCTTATTCAAGAACTCTAATTTTAAACTTATGAATATTGTGTAAAGAATAATTTGAAGGATATATTATATTAAAGATACTAGTAGCTACTGCATAATTAGTACTCATTACTATTTAATTTTAAAATTAAATAAAACTCTAGATACTATATGCAGTAGCTAACATAGTAATTTAGTATAGATATACCTTTCAAAAAACAGAATAGTAATAATACCTGATCTTAATTATGAGAGTATTATATTTGAGAGATACTATAAGCAATGACTAATAATAATTTCTATAGCTTTGAATAGAATTTTTTTCTAAATACTTTCCTTTTATAATATATACAACATGATTTAAAAATATAAGTCAAGTGAGTTTCTCAAGTTTTTGTTGGATCCAAATCTTCAAGTGCTAATTCAAGACCTTTAGCTTGTATAATATCTAAGTCACCAAGAATAATTTTCTAACATTATCATGAATATGTTTGATTTGAACTTCTTGTTTACAAAGTTTATTTACAGTTTTGACTATAGCTTTAAACATATGATGATAAGCATTTGCAGTTATAATATTTGTAAAAATTCATACATATGTAAGTACTAAAAGGATTAAAATTAATAATATTGTAATAGTAATATATAAATAATTAAATATATATAAATTTACTTAACTAATATTATGATTTATATCAAATTCGTTAAGCTTAAACTCATTAATATTTTTATAAACATGTTTAAACATTAAATTAACTTGAGAATATTGTGCATTTAAAAGTTTTATCACCATGCTTTTATTCATGCATAGTATAAGAATATGTCTATCTTCATAAAATGCTATATTTTATTAAATAAAATATTAGTATATATGGTATTATATATATACATATTCTATATATATAATACTTTATATATAAGTTACTCTGATTATACTAAATATTAGTAATGTCTTATTTCTCTATTCCTACTCGATATCACACAAGATAGCAATCTATTAACAATTATACTTGTAGCTAATTAAATACTAACTCTAATATTATGTGATATCAGGTAAATAGCTAAGAAATAATTTTTAGGAAAATGAGCAGCTACTTAGAGGTTAGTTTAACCAAAGTGATACTCTATATATACCAATTTTTTAAACATATTCTTGAATATTATCTAAATTAGAAAAAAAAGCATGAACCAAGCCTAATATATCTTGTCCATGTAGATAAATTAAATTTTGAACCCGAGCAACAAGGTAGTGAAGATGATTCAAATTATTTAAAGAAGTATGAATTTCTGATAATAGATCATTTCCAAAATAACTCTTAAGTAAATTTCCTAAATTAAAAAGATAATTATCATTATATACATATTTTTTTTTTTTTTTTTTTTTTTTTTTTTATTATAATGCCATAGTAGAAACTTTATTTATAAGATTAGAACATATGTTCGAAATTTTAAAGATTTCTAACTACATTTGTGTTACATATTTTTAAAGCACCTAATATGACATTACACCCTCTATTTCCTAATTTATGCTATATTTAATTATTTCAAATTAGTTTTTAGCTAGGATAGGTTGGGGAGAACCTGAGGTGTTAGTCCTGACATTATAAAGTACAAGTTGTTAGTGAGAAGCCTTGGAGAAACCATTTTTCAATTTCAGATTGGTAGTTTGTTATTGGAATAGAAGTTGTATTAGAGTTTGGTCTATTAGGTAGTATTGGATAAGTAATTTTTGTGTGTTTAGTTTTTTTGTAATATTCTAAGCAAGTTCCTATTAGTGTTAGTAGTAGTTTCATTGATTCCAAATATCATTGTAGAACCAAGTAAGTAAGTTGTTAGAGAGATTTGTAAGAAGAAGATCTGTTTGTTTTTGAATAATATTTTTAATATTAGTATATATTGTAAGTGGGAAAGTACTAATTATAGATAACAGTATATAGTGGTATTGAAGATTTGAAGAGTTTAATGTAAAGTGTAGGAGGATATTAAGGAGTGTATGAGCAGAGATTGTTGAGATTTTAAGTGATATTAGGGTATTATTAATTGTATTAATTAGTGATTATTGAATATTTGAGGAGTTTTTAGAACAGAAGAGAATGTGTATTATATTTTCAATAGTTGGGTATTGTATACAATTAGGAGTTGTATATAGATAGAGATAGTGAATATTTAGATTTTGCATTGTAGGTAAATTATTTGTTAGAATTTTAATACGGAATGTATATATTTGAGAGTTGTGT